CATTATTTCCTTAGGTTTCTTAAATACGCAACACGAATTGAAGACAAAACAAAAATAGGCAAGAAAGCCGTTAAAGCAAGATCAACTTTTAAAATCTCTGCGTTTCCTAACTTTTAAAACTATTGTTCGAATCTGTTGGAAGTGTTTTTACACCCTAGAAATAACTGTGGTAAAAATGTGCCCGAGGTTACCTTTCACATGATTTCTGAGGCTTAAATACCCATGTCCGAAATGCTTATTTCATATATGTGTGTATGTAGATGTGTGTATATATAAATATTTTTAACTCAAGGTCACTTTCCAAGTTTGAAACCGTGCAGTTTTCTCATTTTATTGTTTTTCTTGTCAATTATTGCATATGATTTGCAAGTACCTTTGAGAAGACTTGAGAATTCCATTATTAATTTATATATAGTTAATACGAAACGTTTACATTCCTCAAAAACTCTTAATCCAAACCCCAAGTTTCCTGAACTTCATATTAAGGATAGTTTGAATAATCCCAACTACTCAAATGCTTACAAAATATCTCAGTCTAATTAATGGGTTTTTTATTCATTAAGCAAAGTTAATTTTATTTGACAAATATAGATGGCCTGTAGAAATAAATTGCCAATTACCTTGCAACATTGTATCTGTCTTGGCTTTCCCCTTAAATCATTTTTTATTGTTTCACTTGAAACTAATATTACCCCCTCGTTTTTCCAAGTCATACCTGACAATTTTATATAGCATATCTGGCCTAGAGGGATGTTGGTTTTTTAACTTAAATATGCAACTGCATTAAATAGTGTATGTGGATGTATTGCTTCTTCAATTATTTATTTGCAGTGTACATTGCTGTCTTAATTTCTAATTTTAAACAATATCCCTCACTTTAAGTCACCTATTCAATGAGAAAAAAAGATGAAGTTGAAAAGCAGTTTAAATAAATAAAATTTGTGCATTTTCTACCTGAAAATGCGTTGTTAATGGCATTGCTCTTAAAAAGCTGTTTGCCCGTGTGAGTTTATGCAAAATGAAAACTATCCTTATGTGTCTGTCCCAAGCTTGGAATTGATTAGAAACAGTGATTTTCAGATACTTTCACAGTATTTGGGAACTCAGGGCACTTAGGATTGTTAATTAAAATTAATTAAAATTAAAAATTAAAATGACTTTCTCCATTGGGTTGATATGGGAGGTAGGGCTGTAAATAAGATGTATGTATTTAAAACTTTACTTGCTTTGTCTTCCTGGAGTGAATGATTGCTCAGTTGCAGAGAGGAAGCTATTCTATTTCTTAGAACATTTCTACCTCTTTGAGAACAGCGTAATGTCTGGTTAAGAAGCCCTTGTTTCTCAGGAAGGGAACGCATGTTTCACCCCTCCTCCCCGCCTGTTGTAGAAAAAAAGAGTGAGGCAGTCATTCAGAAGAAAGTGAGAGAGGTCTAGTTGGAAATTAGGTGAACTTAAAAATGGATTCTAACCCACACCCTGCCTCATCACTGTTCGCCCAACCCAATCCCAAGCTGATGGCATCCCTCCTTTTCAATTGCCCTTTGCCTTTTAAGTTTCTTGCAATCTGGGAAAATGAAGGGAAGTAAAATAAAACAAGAGCTTTTTTTTCTCCTCAGGAGGAGATCCGATACTGGCACGGCCCTCTGATTCCTGAAGATGGGAAGCCATAGCTTTATGTTCTCCCTCCTAGCTTTGGGAGAGGGTAAATGGTATAGGGGTGTCACCTCCTCTTCCATCTAGATTCCAATTTGGCCTTGTGCCGCTCCCTAGGATAGAACTAGAACAGGTGAAGAAATGGGTGAAGATTAGAGTTTGCGTAGAGCTTAGATAAGACCCCAAGAAAGAAACTATTTCTCCCTGGGCATTGCCCTCCAGCGTCCTAACCATCTTCTTCTCTGTCTAGTGAGGACCCTTGGAGGGCTGCCAAGATGATCAAGGGCTACATGCAGCAGCACAACATCCCCCAGCGGGAAGTGGTTGATGTCACAGGCCTGAACCAGTCTCACCTCTCCCAGCATCTCAACAAGGGCACTCCTATGAAGACCCAGAAGCGCGCTGCACTGTACACCTGGTACGTCAGAAAGCAACAGGAGATCCTTCGACGTAAGTGCTTTAATCCTAGAGCGGCCTGATTCTGATCCCTCAGAGTGGCCCCGGTTTCCCCTTCACCAAGAAGGCCTCCTGCACCGGTGCTTGGCGAATACAAGAAAGCCAGCAAGTGGAGTTGGCTTTCGTGATTGCAGTACACCAAGCTGCCTTGAATCAACCCTTCATTCTGTCCCTTACTAGACAACAGATAGTTGCTTTGACAAGCTCCCAGGGTATGCAATGTACCTTGACGTTCTTAGTGTCTGCTGCTCTTTGAAACCAAGTAGGTAAAAGGGTGGGGTTATCTTCCCCAAGGGCTAAGCATGTCCCCTTGATGGAAGACTATGGTCAACGTATCCAAAGAAGACATTTCACAGTAGAGGGCTAGTCCTGTGATTTTCCTCCCCAGAGGAGAAGGATAAAAAGTGTAGAGTGTTTGCCTAGACATACTCAGCACCTGACCCTTGGCTGTTTATTGGTGAGGAGGAGACTGCGTTCTGAAATAATTTATGGGGATAATTCACATTTATCAAAACTGGTAGTTTGGGGACCCCGCTGGGCCAGTGAGTCTGTCTAATGAAGGAGTTTCATCTTGCTACGGCAGGTCACAGTAAAGGTGTCTGCCTTTGGAACTCTGGCCAACGGATTCCAGTCACTCCCACTCCCACCCCAAAATGTCCTGTCTGTCCCAAGGTTTCTTCCACCTCAAAACACTGGGCTTCGTTTTTGAAGTGTGGGGAACTTGGAACTCTAGTTGGATGACAAGAGCTTGAATAGCGTGTTCTTTTCAGTTTAGCGAAGTAGACGTCTACTTTACCTTCTCGTTCTTTCCACGCGGCCCTCTCCTGAAGATGTGTTTCGGACATTTTTCCCTCTCCTTGGAGCCTGGCGTTCTCTGGCTTTGTCCAGAGGTTAGCGTTCACCACTTTCGTTCCCTCTCACTGGTTGTTCGGTTTTGGTTTTGGTTTTGCGGGTTGTTTGGTTTTTTTTAAGCATCCTTATTCCCTGCTCTGAGATGATGGTGTCAGTATTTATCGTCTCCGGGTCTAGAAAGGCCGTCATGGTGGAGAGAAACAGCATAGGCGATCGTCTCTGCTTGTGGTTGTTTGTAGGAAGCCTCAAGTGGAAAGATTGGAAATAAGGAGTAAAATTAGTGCTGTTGGCTGCCCGGGTGCAGAGACACTTTCTAAGGATGGGTGAGCCCCTCACCCCTGGCGGCTGGCTCTTTAAAATTGTGTTCTTGACATGAAGCACTGCTCGGTAGTTCAGGGACAGTGCAAGAAAATGCTCAGAAACCAAGTCCTCAAAGATCCGAGGACTCTTGGGGCCAGCCTTCGTTCAGGTCCAAGCTGCGTCTGAGCTGCGTCTGTGCTCCAGGAGCTGCCCCTCCACTAGGGGGAGGAGCAGGAAAGGCCGCTGGAAGGGCTGAACAGACAAGAGGCTCCGTCATCTTCTCAAGCATCTTGAGAGGGGATGTTTTCACAAAAATGGATGGAGGTCCCTGCAAGAGCTTTGTTGTTGTTATTGTTTTAAAGTCACATGAGACATGCATTAAGAAGCTTCATTCTGTAAATAGCATATGTCCTGCTATTCTGTGTCAAAAATTGTGTTGGGGGGAGAATTACACTAGGCTGTGGGACATACAAGTGTAGGGATTTACAGACGGCACCACCTAACGAGGGAGACTTAAGAACAGCTACCCTCGAAGAGCTGTTATACAGGCAGACACAGGGGGCAGCAGACTGATGGGCCAATTGCCTGGAGAAATTGACAGAGCCTTAAAAGGGTTCCCAGAGAAAATGACTTGGGGGCCAGGTCTTGAAAGGTGACAGATGGACGAATGGGATAAAAACTGTGAAAGCAGAGGAAGAAGAGAGGAGCCAGGGACTGGGCTGGCAAGCCCGCAAAGAGGAGAGCCAAAGGATAATAGCCATGTAAATCTGGGATGTAAATTTCCTGAGCATTCAAAATAAATGGTCATATTCCTGGACACTTCTACACATCCAGGATCCTTGTCTAAACTTGCTCCCAGGTCTATTAGGAGGCAGCAGAAGCCGATTTCTCCAAGTTCCTTCCTGGGGGCGGTCAATGTTTCTTCTTCCCCAGAAGCCTCTGAAAGGATTGAAAGGGGAGTGGACGGTGGTTGGAAGGTGTGTGGCTGGGCCAAGCCTTCAACCATTGAGAGAGGCTGGGGCCAAACTTCTGAGTGGGACAGACCCTGAAAGCAGGTGTGCCTACCTGGTCCTGCCATACTTTGGGTTTCAAGCTGCTGTTTCCCCAAAGGACAGTGGGAAGACAGTCGCAGTCCCTGCACTGTGGGGTGGCTGTGGGTGGGTCTTACACCCACCCCAAAATAAAGCTTCAGGAGTTGATTTTGTTACTTCCACGTAAGTCAGCGTCGAGGGTTTGCTGGGCGTGTTCTCTGGTTTTTGGTAACAGATGTGCATTGGTTGGTGGTTTGGTACGTTAGCGTCTACAGGGGTGTATCTTGGTCCTGTTCCCAAGACTAAGGTGACCAGATTTTAACATTGGTAAAGCAGGACACCATTGATCAAACTCATATCCTGGCGAAATAGCCACATGGCAGCCAAAAGCCGTATACCCTAGCTTGTCGTGCATTCTTTCCAAAAATCGGGACTTTTAAAAAACGCAACAGGACGCGGGACAAATTGTTAAAAATCGGGACTGTCCCACCAAAAGCGGGACGTCTGGTCACCTTACCCAAGACCCTGCAACTTGGAGCAAGTCTTTTAGCCCGTCTGAACCTCAGTTGCTTCATCTGTAAAGTGGAGATGACCAAACCTCTCACACGAGAGGCTGTGAGTTTGGGAGACAAGGGATACACTGCCTGTACTTGGCACGTGACCTAAATCTAGAAAGGCTGCCAGAAATGCTCAGTGTTATCCCACCTGTTCATGTGGGTCCCAAGTCCTTGGAGGAGCTTTCCTGGCTTCGGATACTATTCATAGTCGTTCCAGGGGGCCACACCCGACCAGAGGGAGGAAAGGAGACACTGGGTCAGACCCCTACCGAGCAAGGCACTTCTTTCTCCCCCTTTGATTATCCCTCAAGTCCCAACCCTGAAGAATAAGTAACATCCATGTGGGGGCTCTTTGAGAAGCCTAAGCTCCGTAGGAAGGAATTCGGGTCATCGTCCTGCTGATCAGCAACCCAACTAGGGGTTATCTAAAAGGCTATTTCATGCCACTTAGGTTTTTAAGCAGGACCATGACACAGGTGGAAAGCTAAGTGACCCTAGAATGAAGCAACTTGGCTGGGATCCTAGATTATCCCATTGAGTCTGTGATTTCCTGTTAGTATCTTTGGCAGCAACTCCAGCATCTAAAGGAACTGTTGGGCACCAAGGAAAGTAGAGCCCTAAGGTAGCGTGAGAACCATCCAAAGTGGGTGGCTGGGAAATCGAAGGCCCCACAGACAAGCTCGCCCATCCACCCAGGAGACTGCTCGTTAATCTGCCAATTAACCAGCAACTGATCAAACAAAACTTAGCATCACCTGCAGCTAGGATCCTAAGTCCAGGCAGACTTGGAATCCCACTGCTTCCCAGTGATGAACCAACATGGAAATGGGTCCTGGGTTAGGTAGTAAATGCCCTGTTCATGGAGCTGTGTAGACGAAAGACCACATCGGTAGGGTATTGTGGAGGGGATTCAAGCATTAAATCATGGCCTGCCTTTTGAAGCGTAAAGATTTCAGATTCCAACTGTCCAAAGAAAGAGGAAAGGCTGCACCTATAAATAATGGCCTGTCCAGACTCATGACCCCAAGGGCTCATCATGACTGGAGGTTGCGGCCTTCATGGCTCTGAGCCCGGCAGCCCTGCTTCATGCAGGTGTGAGGGAGAAAAACAGCAATGCTCTCTTCTCCCGCGAGTCAATATTGATTCTCATGTCAACTGCTTAGGCTAAGGTATCCTCACTGGTCTGAGCTGCCACCTGCCTTTTGATTCATTCAACGAGAAATGTCTTCAGGATCACAATATGCCTGGGCCCTGGGCGTTAGACAGCCAGGGAGCAAGTTCTACCTACATTTATCCTTACCCAATCCCTTAAGCACAATGTCTGGAAAGACCTCATGCTTACGTCTTCTGACATGCCATATTTCACAGCTGTGGGCAGATCCGGAAGATTCTTTTCTTCTTGAGCTGCCGCTCGCATGAGCTTATCGCTGGGCCCACACAGGACTGCCTTTGAGATGATTTGCGATGGAAAGAGTGTCTTCTTTTTCTAACACGAAGCTTCGATGTCTATCAAAGCAGTCCTCAAAAGATTCTGGATTTGGGGTGTACTTAAACAGCCCAACAGCCTCGTGTGAATAAAACCACCCCAGACCCATGGCCATCTCCTGGTTTCTAACGCACGATGACACTGGAGGACAGACAGCACAGGACGGACCCATGGGGTTTCCAAGGCTGTACATCTTTACAGACCCTCTCACACGGCAGCCGATGGACCTTTTGGTTAGTTGTCTAGTTGCTGAGCATTGTAACCACTGTGCTACCAGGGGGCCTTTATAATGTGAAGAGTCGGGATCTGCAGAGAGCAATCTCTCTAAGTCAGTGGTTCTCAGCCTTCCTAAGGCCGCGACCCTTTCATACAGTTCCTCATGTGGTGGTGAACCCCCCCCCCCCAACCATAACATTATTTGGGTTGCTGCCTCATCACTGTCATTTTGCTACTGTTAGGAATTGGGCAAACCCTGTGAAATGGTCGTGCGACCCCCCAAAGGGGTCGCGACCCACAGGTTGAGAACCGCTGGTCCAAGTGCAAATATTAATTGAGCTCATCCCCCTGATATCAAAATACAGTGTCCAGGATTCAGAGTTCTTCTTCAGGTCTGAGGCCACGTGAGGTAACAGCAACACCGTAAGCATTGCTCTTAGCACAGTGGTTGTCTTTGAGCTCCTTGACAGGAAAGAGGAGGGTAGCTTTGGAGAAAATTGAGGTGAGCAGTAAGGAGGCCCGTGCGTGGAGATTCATCTCCGGAGCCCTCCCACCCCACCCCTCCCCCTGCCATCATGGAATGCCAGCTCACAAAGTTGAGGCGAGAAGAGCAAAAGTGTCTTGTGTCTGTCTACCTGTCTGTCTACCTGCTGAGTGAAGGCTACAGACCCTATCAAATCTACTCCTTTCTCTTTTCAGAATTCAACCAGACAGTCCAGAGTTCTGGAAATATGACAGACAAAAGCAGTCAGGATCAGCTGCTGTTTCTCTTTCCAGAATTCAGTCAACAGAGCCAGGGGCCTGGGCAGTCCGATGACACCTGCTCTGAGCCCACCAACAAGAAGATGCGCCGCAACCGGTTCAAATGGGGGCCCGCATCCCAGCAAATCTTGTACCAGGCCTACGACCGGCAAAAGAACCCCAGCAAGGAAGAGAGGGAGGCCTTAGTGGAGGAGTGTAACAGGTAACAGCGCCAGGAGCTCACTCGAGCATGCAGGCCAGCACGTGGACCCAAGAGCCATCCCTAGTCCTGGGATCTTGAGGTACTGCGTGTCCACACAGCCAGTTGCCGGCTGCCATCAAGTAGATTATGGAACTAAGCTGCCTGTGGTTTTCAGTGGCTGACTTTTTTAATCTTTCAAAAACGCTTCCTTGGGCATTGGTTTTCCAGTCAACAATCCGTACACATGGTGTTTCATCTCATTCTTTGCAGTCCCTCCTGGTAACATCCCTTAGCCCACTTCCTCCCTGTGTTTCCTGTTTCCGTTCCTCCTCCTTTCCTAAGCCTCCGAACTTTGTCCTTGGGGAAAGGCTGCCCTTTGGATCTCACATGGTGCCTTGTGCTAAGGTGTGTCCACGTCCCTTGTGTTTCCTGTTCCCCTCAGAGACCTGCCTCTTGGTCGGGCTGAGAACTGGCTCCGTGGCTGATGCTTCAAAAGTCAGTTGCCAGGACTTTCTTCATTGGCACCTCCAACCTGTCTGTCAGCGGCCAAGTACGGTCGCCATTTTTACCGCTGTGTGGCTAAATCAGGGTTTCCCTAAATATCATCCACAGAACCCTAATCTTAATGTTTTGAATAAGTTTGAGACACGCCACGCATACCCTTCTTAGGAAGTGGCAACATAGATGCGTAATCTTAAAGGCTCAGAGAAGTCCTGCAGTAAAGACACCTATTGGATTGTGTTGGCATGGTGGTTAAGCAAGCCGATGATTCCCTGGGAAGTATGCCTCTCGAGAAAACGCTGGAGGATGCTGGTCTAAAAACATAACACATGTGAAGTGACAATTCTATGACCCCATACATGGAAGACAAAAACTACGCCTTTGCCGCCGAAGCTTGCACCTGTTGGCCCAAAAGGAAGCTTTGCCAGGCTCATAAGAATTGGTCAGGTCTCTTCAGACCCCCCTGGCTGGGCAGCTATGAGCTGGGCTGCTAACTGCAGATCAGCAGTTCGAAACCACCTCCTGCTGTGCAGGAGAAAGATGGGGCTTCCGATGCCCATGAAGAGTTGAGTCTTGGAAACACTCAGGAGCAGTTCTACCCTGTCCTATAGAGTCACTATGAGTTTGGTGTTTGTTTGTTTGTTTGTTTTCACAACTACGTGTAAGAATGTGACTGGAAAGCCTTGGGGCATAGTTTTCTTTCCTTCCTGCCCTCTCTTTCTCTGACTTTTACAAGCGCTGCTCTTGGATTTAGCCAAGCCCTGTGGGCGCCTTCTCTCTCTCTCCGGGCTGGATCAGCTTCAGCAGTGGAAGGATGTCACCGGGCCAGTTGGGCCGGGAAGTAGAGAGGCAGAAGCATCAGCCCCTAGAGGCCGCAGAGTCCTCAGTCTGTGGTTCTGTGTCCTGTGTGATGGAGAGGCGCGTCCTGCACCAGTGGTGCCTAAGACATCTCTCACACCTGGATCCAGGGTCTTGTCAGCATTGATAAGACCCCTCTAGCCAGTCCTTTAGAAGGGACTCCTGGGCTGAGCATGTGATCTCTGCCTTTGCTCAGACTTCTGTACCCAAGCCTTTCAGAGAGAGTGCTTCGAAGAGACTTAGGCAGAAGCAGCAAAGGTCTTGGGCAGGGTGGGGAGAATGGCAAACCAGGTGGTGGCAGGAGGCCCAGTCTGGACCTTTCTCTTAATCGTCTGGCTCCAGCTGGCTCTCTGGTCCTCAGAAGCCACCTCACAGCCCTGTACCCCTGACTTCTAGCACAGCATCCCTGGCCCCAGACCTGTGGTTAAGGCCCACTCAAGCGATCATCATCAGATGATTCGATGGTTGTGTGTTTTTCCCTCTAGCCAGCATTTTCCTCAAACCTCCCCGCCCCCTCACTCTAACCTCAGCCTCCTCACACTTCTAACCAAGACTGCTATGATTTTGTGTTTGGGGGTCCACCCCTGGCTACCCTCATTCACGATCTGGCCTCTGTCTATTCCCAGGGCAGAATGTTTGCAGCGAGGTGTCTCCCCATCCAAAGCTCATGGTTTGGGCTCCAACCTGGTCACTGAGGTCCGTGTCTACAACTGGTTTGCAAACCGCAGGAAGGAAGAGGCATTCCGGCAGAAGCTGGCCATGGATGCCTATAGCTCCAACCAGACACACAGCCTAAACCCTCTGCTGTCCCACGGCTCCCCCCACCACCAGTCCAGTGCCTCTCCACCCAACAAGCTGTCAGGTAAGCGGGGCCTGGGTTTCTCAGCCAGGTTTCATCTGGCCTGTGGATTTTCATGGGAGCTTGTGCTTTGGGATGGCACTGGTGCTGGCCTCCTGCCATCGTTAACGGATTCCTATGAAAAGGGCACACCTGGCTCTCCTTAGGTTTCTTCTGAATCCTTCTCCCCATTGCACCGTCTGAAGTAGCTCGGCCGCCAGAGAGCTGGTTGGCTGTATTTTCTGTTCTTCTCCCCGTGTGGCTGCTGGCTTAGAGGACCGGTGTCCAGTTAGAGCACACGTTTCAGCAGTCGCTGTGATGGAGGAGGGACGTCTCCCCTTCATCTTGGTCCAGCTCCCAGCCCTGACCCTCTGTCCAGCTGTAGCAGAAGCTCAGGCGCCCTTGGGAAAGGACCATTCAATGGGCAGTGTTTGCTTGTTGGCTCCTGTGCTCCTTCAGGGTGACATCAGCCACTTCGAATCATGAACTCACTACAGTGGTGAGTTAGCCAAACCCCACTGAGTAGCTACTGCGGCATGCTCGGCCCTGAGCTGGATTAGTGATGCCTCTTCCATGACGTCTGGTTTGTCACGAGGTAATCTTTTTGTTTTTAAATTAAAAGATCATTTTATGGGGGGGGGCTCTTACAGCTCATGTAACAATCCGTGCATCAATTGTATCAAACATCTTTGTACAGGTTGCCATCATTCTTTTCTAGACATTACTTTCTATTGAGCCCTTGGCATCGGCTACTCTTGTTTCCCTCTCTCGCCCTGTCACGAGGTAATCTTGCCTGCTCCTTGTGGGAAGACATCCTGATAGGCTAAGTGCTGTCATGAGTACGGATTGGGGTTGAGTCCTTCCACTGGGACTCAGTTCTCTCAAGAAACCTGGCTTTCCGGATGATTGGTGTACTTAGCAGGGTCTCTTTGGTGCCCATGTGGACAGAGTATGGTACGATCTCCTTCCCGCTCTGGGGTAGGGCTTACGAAAGACAAGCCAAGACCTGTTTCTGACTGTCTGAGTGGATTCCGAAACTGTCCCTCCCCTCACCGACTGTTGACCATCTGAGGGACGAGGTCTGAGATCTGAGCATTAACCCAAGTGCTAGAGCAACTAATATCATTTGGGTCGGCCCAGAGCCGCCAACATTTGGTCTCCTACCACGCCCTCCCCTAGCATGGAAAGCTCCTAAGGGAGACTTGGGAGCCTCCCATCTTCACGGGTCTCTAGAAGCCGGAGACTGTCCAACAACAAGTCCTCAGCCAGCGCCAGAAGCTTCTTGAGCTCTGGAAGAGGAGAAAATTCGGTTTGCTCTTAAGAGGCAAACCCGCCCCCAGACAAATACTGGCGTGGGTTGTAGAAGAACTGAACCCCTCTATGGAAATTCAGGGCAGGTTCAGAGGACAGCGGCAAAGGCCTGTGGCTGGCCTGGAGCAGGATGGGAGCCCTGACTGCCCGGAGATAGAGAGCTGGATCTAGGCACTGCAGGGGGTGTGGTTGGGGCAAGGGGCATTATTGCAAAGACAATGGCCATTGTGCTGGGACCTGTGATCTCCACACCAAAGTCAGGGAGCCTTCGAGCCAAACAAAGGCCCAGCAGCTTTCTGACAAGCTGGGGTTGTGTGGAGGTCACCACAGGGCTGTTAGCTTAAGCATTCTATGGTTCTACGGGAGTCCCAGAGAGCTCAGGCTGGAGGGACCCGAGCAGGTATTGGAAGCTGGAGGGGGCTGTGAGAGGCAGCGCTGATGCTTCTTCCTCTGAGGGAAGATGGGTTCTCTGCGCTGTCCCAGGAGTTTGGACCCTTTATAAAAAATTTTTTTCAATCACGGCATATTAAAACTGGGAGGGACTTGGGAGAAGGAACTTAAGGTTCAGAAAGAGAGATGGCATTGCAAGGACTGGGACTCAATTCGGCTGATTGCCACGCTAGCTGCTCACAGCCCCAGTGTGCATGGAGTGTTTACCAAGTGCCATGCACCGCCCTGGGGACACACAGGACACACACACATCCCTGCCCCTACCCCCACACCTGGAGCTTCCGGTCTAGTGGGAAAAGCAACCTGCCAACGTGGGTCCCCCGAAACAGCTGGGGATCAAGATTATCTTTGGGGGGCTCCCTAGGGAAGGGCACGACAATGGGCGGTGGGATATATTCCCAAGGAGCCCTGGTGATGCGGTGGGTAAGTGCTTGGCTTACTGACCAGAAGGGCGGCTGTTGGAATCTGCCAGCGACTTTATGTAGCAATCAGCTTCTGGAACACTTTACAGCCTTGGGACCCCCGTGGGGCACTTACACTCTGTCCTCGGCTGGCTCTGAGTCAGAATCAACTTCATGGCAATCAGTTTTTGGTACATCCCTCCACTCCATGTCCTTCTGCCTCAGTCTTCACTCGGAGCAAATCCAGGTAGCCCTGCCTCAAACCCTGGGACTGGAGTCTCTGAGCTTACCTTTGAATTCTGTTCAAAGCAGCCAGGTGGTCCCGTTGGGTCATGGACTTAACTTCACTGAATGAGTTGCCCATCTGGAAAATAGAGCAAGAGTACCTCCCTCCCCGGGCCCCAGCTGGGCAACCCCCTTTCCTTTCCTCTGATCCCCAAGGCGTACGCAGCAGCAGTGGAAAGATGGCAGGCTGCGGAATTATTTTCCTAGTTCATTTCACGTTCCAGGATATGATTCCTGAGAGGGGAGGGGGGAGGGTCCTGGCCCAGGGTCTGGAAGCAGAGGCAGCTGCTATGGTGGTCCCTTGTGCCCCTCTCTCCAGCTGCCAGCGAGGGGCTTGAGCTGCGCCAGCCCCCCGAGGGGTGCACCCTAGCTTAGGCAGGCCGCGGGCCAGAGGCAAGCTCTCAGATAAGGTCTACAAGTAGTGAGGAGCTTAGCATGGCACCATCCCTGCCACCAAGCTGTGGTCTCCAGTCCCAAGGACATTATGCATGCAGACGTCCATGCAGACGTCCATCCAGTGGTGGAGGCGACATCAACACCCAGGACCAGTCCTGGCAAGGTCTAACACTGGGTCCCAATCCCCTCACCCCTCCTCCGACTCTTCCATCCTCCCCAAACTCCCAGGCACCGAGGCCTGCGAGACTGGCAGCACCTATGGCCCTACTCTCTCTAAGCAAGCCTCTGCCCTCCCCAGCCACGGTGGGCTCCCTGTGGCCCACTTGCCCACGATGACCACAGTGTGACCCTGGTCCTGGAATGTCCGCACAATGGGGGTGGCAGGAGGAGCACTTTGCCTCTGTCAGCGGCTGATTGGTTACAAGGTGCCCGACAAGCACATTGTCAGCAGAATCAGCTGTTTTCAGTGTCCCTCCTCGGCTTTACAATCACACACCAGCATGCAGCCAGGGGTTGTCATGGCATTGTCTCCCTTATGCATGCTTAATTGACAATTACATTGGGGCTTTGAATCAGCCTGGCTGCGGCTGATGCGCCTTCATCTTTCCAGCGAGCGTCACAGGGGCACCCTTTGTTTGCTCTTCTTGGGGGCCTGAAGTGACTGTAGCGGGATCGGCAGCAGCCATTTATCTTCAGCCTGGAAGGCCTTTATCTGCCCCCTCCCCATTCCAGCTCTGGCCAGCAGGAGCCGTCCCTGGTTATAGGCCCCGTGACAGCCCATTCTGAGGCCTTTGAGCAGACCCGGAGTGATGGCCCCAACCTCCATTCTGGAGCTGAATCAAGCGAAAGGCCCCCAAAAGGTCAGAGGGCAGGGCTGCCGCAAGGAAGAGGACTGGTTGGAGACTGGTGCTTGTATTGATCCGTTCAAGGAGGAGGAGGAAGTTGGCGTGGGAGGGAAGTGGGGCCAGCCTTGGCACCAGCCAGGCAATGTGGTTATGTGAGCTGTGGCGGCCTTGCTCCCTGATGCCTTCGCTCCAGCCTGCAGCAAACTCGCTGTGGCCGCCGCCTCATGGAGTGAGGGGAAGGACCGAAGGGCTTCATGCACCTTCACCCGCGCCACATCATGCCTTGTAGAGAAGAAGGTGGAGGCTCATTCTCCTGACAAGACACTGAGGCCCAGGGGAGCCTGTGCATATCCTGGACCACAGCTTCTTTACCCAGGAGGAGAGGCTTGCTTCTGCAGCTGTGGCTCCTCTCTCCTTTGGAACTCCGTTCCTCTCAATGCACTCTCCTTGGACTTGACTCCACTCCTCCTCAGATCAGAGCCTGGAAAAGCAGAGAGCCCTGCCTCCCGCCTTCCCCCTGCGTCTCTTCCTCCTAAGCAGCCTGAAGGAATCTAGCCCTGCGTCTTAGGGAAACCAAACAGGGGACCAGCTTACCTGGGTGAATGCTACTGTTTTCCTCGAGGGTGAAATCTTCAGGATCCCAGGCCATCTCAGCAGTGCCCAGTGGCAAGGTGATGAGGGAGTGTGAATGATGATTACAGCTAGTATTGGTTGAGGACATTGACAAGCCCCTGGCTCAGGGCTGAGCACCTGTACGCCTCATCTTGTTCAGTCCTCACCCCTCAGGAGGTAGAAACCATCTGTATTGTGATCCCTATTTTGCCGTCAAGGAAGGGCGGGTAGGTAGAATGGAAGTAATTTGCCAAGTTCATCTAGGAATAAGTAAGTGGCAAGCCAAGTTTTCCCCTGTTGCCCTGTCCGCTCTTGGCTAGATGCAGGATGCTAAGCGCTCGGGTGTTAAACTGAAAAGTCGGTGGTTCAAAGCCCCCCAGCTACTCTGCAGGAGAAGGAGCTCATGAGCTGCTTCGGTGAAGAGTCGAGCCCTGAAAACCCTGTGGGCCGTTTTGCTCTGGTTCACGGGGTTGCTTTGAGTCAAAAGTCAGATTTGAACATTGGTCAAGCGGGACACCATTGAGAAAATGCATATCCTGGCGAAATAGCCACATGGCAGCCGAAAACCGTATACCCTAGCTTGTGCATTTCCTTCCAAAAATCGGGACTTTTTAAAAACGCGACAGGACGTGGGACAAATTGTTAAAAATTGGGACAGTCCCGCCAAAAGCGGACATCTGGTCACCTTAGTCAAAAGCTATTCAATGACACCCCATAATAATAA